GGGTGATCAGACCGTGTGATATGTTTAATCATTTCCAGAGGAATATCTCTTCTTAAAATGTGCTTTAATAAGGGCATCGGATTATAATAATTCTAAAAAGATACTTATAGTACTTTCATGTTAAAAAGGGCTGCAACTAACAATCATTTTACCAATCTAGTTGATTTTTTTATTTTTTTTATTTGGATATATCAAGTGATAACAGGATAGCAAAAAGTTACTTAAAGAATTTTTTTTACACTATGTAAACCAGATGAAACTCTAGATAGAGCATAGTTCGATTGAAGAATTTCTTTCAACTAATAGGAAAAATGTTAATATATATACACTCACCGACCACTTTATTAGGTACCCCATGCTAGTAACGGGTTGGACCCCCTTTTGCCTTCAGAACTGCCTCAATTCTTCGTGGGATAGATTCAACAAGGTGCTGGAAGCATTCCTCAGGGAGTTTGGTCCATATTGACATGATTGCATCACACAGTTGCCGCAGATTTGTCGGCTGCACATCCATGATGCGAATCTCCCGTTCCACCACATCCCAAAGATGCTCTATTGGATTGAGATCTGGTGACTGTGGAGGCCATTTGAGTACAGTGAACTCATTGTCATGTTCAAGAAACCAGTCTGAGATGATTCCAGCTTTATGACATGGCGCATTATCCTGCTGAAAGTAGCCATCAGAAGTTGGGTACATTGTGGTCATAAAGGGATGGACATGGTCAGCAACAATACTCAGGTAGGCTGTGGCGTTGCAACGATGCTCAATTGGTACCAAGGGGCCCAAAGAGTGCCAAGAAAATATTCCCCACACCATGACACCACCACCACCAGCCTGAACCGTTGATACAAGGCAGGATGGATCCATGCTTTCATGTTGTAGACGCCAAATTCTGACCCTACCATCCGAATGTCGCAGCAGAAATCGAGACTCATCAGACCAGGCAACGTTTTTCCAATCTTCTATTGTCCAATTTCGATGAGCTTGTGCAAATTGTAGCCTCAGTTTCCTGTTCCTAGCTGAAAGGAGTGGCACCCGGTGTGGTCTTCTGCTGCTGTAGCCCATCTGCCTCAAAGTTCGACGTACTGTGCATTCAGAGATGCTCTTCTGCCCACCTTGGTTGTAACGGGTGGTTATTTGAGTCACTGTTGCCCTTCTATCAGCTCGAACCAGTCTGGCCATTCTCCTCTGACCTCTGGCATCAACAAGGCATTTCGGCCCACAGAACTGCCGCTCACTGGATGTTTTTTCTTTTTCGGACCATTCTCTGTAAACCCTAGAGATGGTTGTGCGTGAAAATCCCAGTAGATCAGCAGTTTCTGAAATACTCAGACCAGCCCTTCTGTCACCAACAATCATGCCACATTCAAAGTCACTCAAATCACCTTTCTTCCCCATACTGATGCTCGGTTTGAACTGCAGGAGATTGTCTTGACCATGTCTACATGCCTAAATGCACTGAGTTGCCGCCATGTGATTGGCTGCTTAGAAATTAAGTGTTAACGAGCAGTTGGACAGGTGTACCTAATAAAGTGGCCGGTGAGTGTATATATATATATATATATATATATATATATATATGTATGTATGTATTTTTTTTCCTATAATCTAGCTCATTTGATACTTTTAATATTAAAATGATTTGCATGGATTGTGTTTACCATCCACCAAAATCATTTGTCTTCTTCAGCGTCTTAATTTGATGCTGTAAAATGTGCTATTAGTGACTCCCGTCCTGTTGCCGTGGTGAATCAGTATGCTTCCTCGCACCAATATAGTTAGCATAAGGACCGCCAACATTTCTAGACACCTCTACGAAAGGAACAGCTGCCCACAATCCTTTGTGTGACGAGACACATAAGCACAGACATTGAGTTTTTACAAAAATAAATTATTTCTCCTACTCTTTACGCATTGGAGAAATAATGTAGCACATGCTAATGTACACATCTTCATGATTTGGGTTTCATAACAGAGAGCTTCAGCTGTGCACTACATTTAACTTTTTATCGTAGTTCTCTATTGCTAGGACTGTAGTCCCTATTTGAACAGAATAATTAATGTTTCTGTCCGCTGTGTAATGACATCTGTACGGCTAAAAGGCTGTCTGGAGCTGCTTTCCTACCCTGAATAATATACATACTGTTGAGCCTGTGAAAGATATGAGCTAGGAACAGGAAATACAGTTTGACATAGTTAGATCGAGCCTCAGAGTTGACTAGATGCAGAGTTTAGTTACCGACTGATATCACCTGTTTTAAATCCGTACACTGAGTAGCAAATTGATTTATCTGTCAACAATTTTTTCACTAATGGATTAACAATCGGATAGCCCAAAGTTCCTTAAAGAAGATTTTTTTTTTTTTTTTATGAAATTAAAGCAGGTGAAACTCAAACCTTTCCATCTGTGGAGTTGTGGTTAGAGTATATTGACAGATAAAAACACTCTTTTTTTATCTTAAACGCAAAATTTTTATAGATATTTTTACAATTTTGATATAATTACTGCTCTAAGTGGGTCGCTCTGCCAACTAAAGGCACATTTTACAGTCTGTATTATCCAGTAAATGGTTAATCAATTACTAAAATAGCAGATTATTTCACTAATCGATTAATCAGGATTAATCCGATTGTTTCTGCCCTAGAAGAGACTATCTGCTTACTACTCAGTAAGTCAGGGGCCCTGAATGATTAAAAAAAAGAAACAAAAGCACCTTTAGAACTTTATTTTAATTTTGTATACCATGATATTGTAATCCCTATCCATGCCTTATTTCTAGGATGTGACCATTTGTTTTAAATTGTTCTCCTAGGTAAATGGTATCCCTGAAGAAAGGAAGGTGGCTGAAGCACTTAACCTATGACCAGAAGCAGCAGCGTAGGAACCGCCTTCCTCCTCTCTGTCATGTTTTCTAATATTTGTGCCAAAAATTAGGTAGCATATGAACAAAGGATGCGACTGCCATATAATGTATGAATCCTCCAACGATGTCAGTTATGGTAATCCCATGTTGTTTCCCAGACACTTTTCAATGCTTTCTAGTAACATTCAGTGTTTTTCTGGCATGTAAACATGGGATCGATTCAAGTTGCAATATTCTAGATATATATTTGCATTCCTGGTGCCAATCTGCATGTCATATGAAAGATTTTAATAATATATGACCTTTAAACTTACCTTTGTAAGAATATGGTCCATGATTAAAAGAGTTGGGTTTATGTTAAACATGTCGCCATCTTTGTTTGCACAATGGAACTCAAGAGTAAAAACCTGTAATGTTCCAATTTGATGTAATATATGTTGGTAATAAAATCTTTACCAATTGTCAAGAGGTTTTCACTTATTAAAAGCACACCCATCAAAACAAAACAAATCCAAAACATGTCTTTTTATTAAGGTATTTTTTTAAATGATGTACAGCAGAATAAAGTCATTTATAAATATGAAGACATTTTCCACATTTTGACAGACACCATAACACAAAAACATTTGAGGCCCTTTAAAAAGGTTGTATTATTTGTTGCTTTTACACGATCAAACAGATCAATTAAGGCGTGAAACAACTGGCAAATCTACCACTTTGCTGCAGATGAATAAAAGAACAGAGGTTTGTAAACCTTTCTCTGAATCAAAGGGAGATGGTAGCATGTGAATACCGCTCTTAATTGCACAATGAGGTTCTGACTGCAAGTAAAGATTGCTGCGTTACCTCTGGAGCTGCAGATTCTGTTTAAACTTAAAAAAAAAAACATATAGAATGATCGAAAACCAAAGTTTTACTACCCAAAGGTAGGCGAGGTGTGCAGCTCAAAAATTCATAGCCAACAGATTTTATATATTTTCTATAAGCAAAAAATGCACATTAAAAAAATGTGCCAAACTCTGAATTTTATCTCTAAGATAAAAAAAAAAAAAAACGTATCTCTGCAGCTTTAAAATGAAAGTGCTCCCTCTCTCTTAAATGAGTACCAAAAGAGAAAAAAAACAAGCCCACCTGCTAACAGGTGTGTAAATATTTTCATGTATAAGTAAAGAGTCCTCAGCGTCATCAGTGCATTACAGAGTGGTTTTCTAATGCTGAATGGCTCTGAATTCAACATTTGAACATGTACTGAATGCAGAACTCTAAGAAATATCCAAAGGCCTTCACCTAGACATAAAAAAAAAAATAAATAAATAAAACAGACTGCCTCCTCCACGGCTATTTTAGTTCACAGGCTGAAAGCTGTTATTTCTACGGTAGAACAATATGTGCAACGTGGTGTGTTTTCCACCACCGCTATTATGAGGCATCTAAATGTAGGAACAGCTGTACAAAATAAATCTGTCCTATCAAACAAATATACATATATTTACACCACGTGTGCTGCTTACAGGACACACGACTTGGACTAAAAGGCTCAACCTTGTCTATGGGATAGCAGGATGGGTACAAAAATCTCTATGCGATACGTCACAAACAGCAGTTATGGACATATAGTACAAAACGAAGCCAGAATGGTATAAAATAGGTGCTTAATTTAAGTCATTAAATACTGTACATGTCATTTCTGAACTACAGCAGCGCCTTTCCGCAAATGCAATAATCTCAAACACTGCTTAAAAAAAAAACATGTAGGAGTATATTCTTAAAAATTTAGCGATTGCACTGCAGATTTTTACATTAGCCTCGATAGCTTTTGGATCCGTCAAGTGACTCTAGTAATACAGAGGATCAATGAGAAGATGTTACACAGTTCAGCATGTTTGTAATATCCAACTATTCTGGTCATGCTGCATCCATGTGGACGGAGAGATCCTCTCAGGAACCAGAACCAAAGACTTCATGTTAAAATGTGTTCAGGGCAGCAGAGGAAGAGGGTTTTGGAGCTGTAAACATTTCAGTGTTTTTGTCTCCTGCTGAGATGACGTATTTTACAGCAGTCAGTACCAGTACCACAATTGAAGTGCTCTGACTTGTCTCCTGGGAAACAAAATCCATAGTTTGACCTGTTTTTAAACACCTCGGACCATAACCTGGCCCCTCCCATCTTTAAGTATCCTTCAGGTCCCAGGCGTGAGCTGGTCCCCTCTGCTCAGCAGCAGTAAAATCAGACTGACGACCCCTGCTGCTCCCAGCTTCCTCAGCAGGGCCATGCTGTCTTTGGGGATGACCACCTGAGCCAGGTCGTTGGTGATGAGAGAAACCTCGTGAGCGACGCAAACAAAGATGAAGGTGCTGACCAAGATGTTGAGTGTTGGGTTCCCCGGGATCAGGACAAGGATTCCTTTTGTGTCTGCCGCAAGCCAAATGTGGTACTGGCATATGAACAGCTGGGGGCGACAGTGTCAGAGAATATCAATCAAAAACTCATTAGACACAAATATTTCTGTTCATTTTAATAATTTTGGCATACAGCAGAAGAAAAGCCATAAAATTAGACTTCTTTTTTATTTTACTGGCTCTGGTGGTGGAAATAGGGTTGATATGTGGCAAAGTTCAATGGGCCAGAAGTGAGGCCGCCTGAACAACAGTCACTGCTCTACTGCCACACCAGCAGATAATTATATTAACTTAAGATAATAAAATGCCATGTTATGATGCACACTCCCATCTCATCCTTGTGTATAAAAAAATATTAACAAGCTGACTCTTATAAAGCAGTCCAACATACAGTCATCTGTCACATGGAGGGGGAGCCCCGAATGAGGATCACTGGAGGTTTACATGCATACATTTAAGCATCCTGGACTTCCTTAACATCTCTGCAGGACATCAGGATCCTCCCCTCCATGTAACTGATGTAGTATATCATGCAAATGGACACCCTGAATATTCATATATATATTCTATACAGAGGTAATACCATTTAATATGCTGACATATCTGCATGTCAAATATTTTCCTTTTCCTATATTATATTCTGAGAACCAATCTGGGGTTTTACTAGCTGCAACGCAAAATCAAAATAAACAGAAAAATGCTTGAAATATGAATCTATACAAAGTGTTATTTCATTCCAGGCCTCTGCAGACAGAAGCATCCTACCTCCAGAGAGATCTTTCCAAACCAGGAGAAAAACGAGCTGTACACGGAGCGCGCATAGCCAGGAATGTTCCTGATAAGAATGAAGGCCAAAATCTGTCAACACAACAGGACAGAAAAAACAGAAAGCGATGAGCTATAGGATCTACCATGTGGTGCTCCGAGTTTAGGACGTTCAATCAGGTAGATAAATGCCCAACAGACATGATCATTTAGTTTGTCCTTGTTTTCTATAGATGCATTTTGGAGCAGTTTGGCATAAATGCTGAAATTTGGAATTTAATCTTGAAATGTAAAATTTGGAATGCCATTATGTATTTGGTAAGAAAAATACAGTTCCTTCTGAAAAAAAAACAACAACAAAAAAAGTCTTTTTATCACCTTTCACACGCAAATGCCCAACTTATGTACATAAAGTAAAAAAATATGCACAGGCACATCTAAATAACCGTTTGTCCAATAAGGAAGCACCATAGCTCTGTGATAAAGCTTGCTTTCTACAGAATCCAATGATATGAACCAATTTGAGATGATGCATATCATTATAATCTCACAAGCGAGAGTAGCAGAGGCCTTTGTGATTTATGCAGGGTAACAGATTCCAAGTATATAACAAGATATTTTTGAGTGATCAGCTGCTAATGATCACCATTTTGCTAATGAGTTTGGCTTTGGCCAATTCAGTGTTTTGTTGGCTTCCATACGAAATGCATTATTCAGTGCAGCTATGCATGTAGTTGAAAACAGGTCCACCAAAACAGAAACAGGGTTATAAATTGCATTTTGGGTATGTGAGTGCTTTTTGACACATACTAATCATGCCTGCTGGAAATGTATAGAGGACTTAAATTATATATATATATAGAAAGAAATGAGAAGAAAATGGAAATTGTACCTGGACCACAGAGATGAAAGGGTGCATCTCATTGCACTCGGTTTTGGTTTTACAGCTGCTTGCCCATATTGAGTAAGTCTAGAAAACCAGAAGGACAGGTTAGGTGTATGTCTGTAAAGCAGAAGGTTGACTCAAACCTTTATGAAGTTCTTCAGCTGTAAAGTGTAGCTGCTTACAATAAAAGAAACGACAGAGAGGAAAAGGAGCAGGTTGGAAATTTTTCCAGGGAAGAGAGCCTCTCCTTTACCCTCTGACAGCACCTGACGCTTCTGCAGCACCAGGTAGAGGAAGGCAAACACCATACCGTGAATCACAGCCTGGAAAACAACAACAGTTTACTTCACCTTCAGCACAGAAAAAGAAAAAGGGTGTGCCAACCACATTTGACTTACAAATCGGTCCAGCTTCCATCTGAACCACCACTCATGGATGCTTCCATTCAGCTCGAAGAGCTTGGAGATGGGCCACACTGACAAGACACTCTCAAAGAAACTCTGGAGTCATAAAACGGAACAAAAGTCAGACTGATGCCGGGCGGGATTTCAGAAGACTGCACATTAAAAAATGCTTTAAAATCACAATTACACTTCATCCTGCAGGGCATGAAACACTAAAGCAGACATGCACCATTTTTGACTCTAAAATGTAGTAAATAAACCCACCTGTGAGAAGGCTAAAAAGCAGATAAACAGCAAAAGGCCCAGTAACTTCACCAGAACTCCCAGATGCCAGATACCACTACCTGTTCAAACATAAACCAACATGGTTTACTTCAAAGCACTCCTGTCTCTAGAGCATCAGACATGAAATCATTTTCACTGTGGTTAGACAAAGTTTCAATAAAAATGTTTTCCATACACTAATCATTAGCAAGAACTGCATTTATTTTAAGCCATTATCAATCCGTCTGAGCCATACTTGAGCACACAGAAAGAAAAAGGGGTTTTTTAACTTCAAGTTATAATAACAGTGCTGGGGGAATGAATGAATGAATGAATGAGGTGTAATAATGAAGTAGGGCTGGGCGATATGAAGAAAATATAATATCACGATATATTTGGGTTATATCGCATTACACAATATATATCACAATATGTTTAAATTACCTTCAAAAAAAATAAAGTGCATAAAATATCACTGATACACTCATTCAAACTTTCAGTTTCAAATGTAAATCATTTTATTTTAACCACCTGAAATCTCATTACTAATAATACAGCAACATTATGTCTTTTGGTGCAAGTATTAAACCTTTATTATGACCCCAGCAACCAAACAGGAAACAAAACAAAAACACGCAATACTAAATAAAATGTAAAATAAAAAAGGGCTCTTTTGTGTATAATAAAAAAATGCTGAATAAGAAAGAAATTACCAAAAAATTGGAAATATTGTCCAAACATTCGAGCATTATCAGAGCATCTCAAAACTGTTTACATTCTTCTTTATGTGCTGGGAATTTTAAAGAAGCACAAAAAGTTGTAAAATTGAGAACATTGTCAAGTTTAGAGAACGCCTGAAAAAAATCTGAACAAGATCACCAAAGATCTTCGGTATTAGAGCGTCAAAAAAACATTTAAATAATGTAATAAATAGCATCTATGATTTCCCTCTATCTCTTCCTTTTTCTCTGATATGGGATCGCGTTTTCAAACGACGGGGCCAACGTCATCGGCTTCACAGCTGATTTATTTAATGTTTTAATTGGTGTGGAGGGAGACGCCGACATGCAGAGTTTACAACATTCCTCCTTTTGCAGCGGATTACTTTTTAGGTGGTGGAATAAATTTGTACTCTAACCCTCTGTAGCAATCTTACAAATTATGCCTTTTGTTTGACGTCCTCGGCGTGAAATCCGAACCACTATCATATATTGCAGAAACACCCGCTGTCGCCATATTTGCCGGTTGCTGTAGTGTGCGTGCTGCCCAGAAAATAATCCTCTTTCGAGGAAGGGTTTATGATGCATTTAAAGTGTGTGGGGAAAAATGAAACTCTCATTGACATAGATGCAGACGGCTTAATGTCGTCATGCGGATTTGCACTTTATGGTTACGCGTGGTAAAACTCAAGATACATTGAGTATATTGGATACATCGCCTACCCCTACGATGAAGGTGGTGCTGCTCTAACAACACAGTCATCTCAAATTCACATCGGATTCGTAGGATGATAAAGCATTCTAGCATTAAGCTTCTAGTGCCGCCCTGATGGGAGACCGTCTGATTGTAAAGAGCCACAAATCTTTTTCTGATGATTGAAAGCACAACATTTTAGCTCTAACAAGCCGACAATACCTTGTTAAAGTCAGATAGTGTGGGTTGAATCCTCAAGGGTAGCCCTTTTAGTGTTTTAAAGTCAAATAACATAGATGAAAGAAGCTATTTGAAAGGAAAGCGTTTTTGCAGAGAGAGCAGATAACAGGAAGGCTGAGCTGATTACAGTACCCATGTCCTCTAGAGCAACAGATAGAGCAATTTAACATTCAGATTTAGACATTAAAGGTGGTCATATCCCCGGGGACGAACACTGTGGAAGCTTGAAGGATCAACACTGACTCCCAATTCTTGTTTACTTTTTACAAAGTCATCATTTTTAAAAAGATAGACTATCTAAAGCTGGTGAAAATAATTTTATATTTGACACCTACTGTTAGTTCTTTTCTGAAGGACCTGAGGCCACATGGCCATCGTGGCGTAGATGATGACAAACCAGAATGTGACCAAAGGGACAAAGTAATAGAACTGGTATGGTCTGTCCATCACAATGCAAAGAACCATCACAAGGAAGTTTAGCCGGAACAACACCTGTAAATGCACATATAAGAAACAAACAAGCATCCACACATCACTGGGGTTAATTTGCTGTGAAGTGTAACGGAACAGTTTGGGAGGGATTCCTAAAGAAAAGGTTAAAGTATAACTGATGGAAGCTTACCTGACACACTCTGTAAAGTCCAAAGTCTCCTTTCAGCCAGAAAAAGGAAAAGTGTCCATAACCAGTCTGGAACAGGTATGCTGCCACCAATACTCGCACATGCATGTAAACGGGAACAAACTACAAAACAAGACAAACAGTTTGGGGTTTTAACTACCGCCGCCTGCATAGCCTGGGCAGAACACCTGTATGTAAAGAGAGCGTGTTTGCGACTCACGGCACTGGCTCCAGAGATGTGATAGATAAGGATGACAAGCTGCATCCAGCCTTTCCATTCATCTGTTTGCTCTCGGTTGAGCAACTTCGCCTGGAATCCAAAGAAGAAAAGGATGATTATGTAAGACGATCAGAGACAAAAACAAAGTGCAAAGTGCAGGACCATCACAAACCCTCAATCTAGATTAGATTTATTTTAGGTTAGAACCACCGAAAGCAATGTGTGACGGTGGGGGGGATCAACAATCAATACCAAGTTATTGAACAGCACAAGTAGAACTATGTTCTACATTTGGCCCCATTTACTGTTTCGTCTGTTAGCTTTATGATTCTACAAACCCCTCCAACATGGGACCAGTGGGCCTTTTAGGTGCATCTCTGTCCTGTATGCTTTTCTGTATCCCATTAGCGACAAAAAGGTCCTAATGGCTAAATGGAAGAAATGCAGAAAATTGACTCAGGGACAGGAATCAAACATTTAGAACTTCAGGGTCCATCACATAAGACGCCCCTTCCCTTCCAATGAACCAAATGGCAGCCCTAATGCGTTGGAACATGCAGCTCAGGTTAAAGCTCTGCTGATCCAGTTTTAATGTAAGCAGACCCAAAACATCTGGTTTGTTTCAAGGAAATTCTCAATACTCTGATTTACCACTAAGCCTTCCGTCGAGTAGATCATGTAAATTACATAAGGGTGACAGCAACAGCTTAAAATAAGGAAACTGATCAAATAATCAGCCCATGAACACAATCTGATAACACTCTCCTAATCCGGACTGATCTTTGACCAGCTGAATGTAAAGTGAAATATTCCCCATATTTTTTAATAATCTATGTTAAGAAAACATGTCCAATTCACTGCTGCAGGAAGAATACTCAGATATTTTCAGAGGGAGGTGGGTACAAATGAGGACAGAGGAAGCACTGGAAAGTAAGAAACAATCGAGTTTCAAGGTCATTTTGAAACACGTCGGTGGATCAGTCAGGCTGAGAACGAGTGCAGGCCTACTGTGCAGAAAAAAACTTTAAACTAATGAGTTTTAACTTCTGTCATGGTTATGCAGCGTTCAGTATAGATAGAAGGGAGCAGCTTTCTCTTGCTGGGATATATAAAAAACAATTGCAGAGCAGGAATTAACAGTAGACCAACTTTGCTAAACGCTAAGACACTAAAATCATTTTGTTTTTGCTTTAAAAAAAACATAAAACTCTGTTTTACAGCAACTATATATTTACGTTGATAAGTAGCCATTAAAGTTTTTTCAGACAGGAACTGTTTAAATGTTTGAAAATAAGACCAAAATCTCCACAGTGATGCATCCCCTCACCTCCTTGCTGCTCTCGCTGTAAAACACACCCAGCACCAGTATGTACACCAGAGGGATGAAGAACTTTGAGTGGGTGTAGAACTTCTGCTCCTTCATGAACACGTCTGCCCGGTCGCACAGGTAGAAGTACAACATGATGATGCCCATCCTGCACAGAGCCTGGAAAGGAGCCTTTGGCCCAAGGGGTGCCGACGCAGCGGTGGGCTTCTTCTCCTCCAGGCTCTCGGCGTCGGTGTGGACAGGTCGGCGATGGCGGTTGTAGCCGAGGACGTGGAGGACAACAAAAACGACGGCTGCGCCCAGGAAAAGGCAGGCTGACAGCTTCTGGAAGAGGTTCGGTGGGGAAATCGTTTGGCAGCAGGAGCCATCGATGGGTCTCACTAGCTTGTTGCAGAGGGAGTTCATGAGAAGCAAAGCGCCCTGAAACACAGATTTTACGGAAAATATGGCAAATGGTGAAAAAATGATGTAAAGATCATGGTAAAACAAAAAGGAGAATCCTCCTTACCACATTCCTTGTGCCCTCTGGCAGATGTAAACCGTCGTCTGAGTTTATGATGGTTTCCAGAGCGGCCTGACGGGCCGCTGCCAGCAGCTTGACCCGAGACCTCCCGCCATATTTGCTGCTGTTCAGCACCTCCCTCGCTGCGTCGTTGTACAGGTCCAGCTGTTCGTTGGTGATCATCTTCCTGCTTTCACTCAACATGCCCTCATTTACCGGGTCTGAAAACAGAGGCACAGGAGGTACAGAGCCGCACAATTTCAATCATACCAATATTCTCTGCAAATTTTGCAGCTCTAGCTCTATGTTATAAAAACAGCGACAGGAAGGAGGGAGGTGGAGTAAACACGAGAACTAAAAGCTTTTTTTAGAAAGGCATGATGATTCCAAACATCTTGCAGGACCCACCTTGCAGCACCCAGTAGACCTCTGCCTGCTCAGCCATTCTAACCAGATGTGAAGCAATGGCTGTCAGGTTGGATTTGTACTGTTGTAGGGTTTCGCTGCTGCCGCTGTGCAGCTTGATGGACCACTGCAATAAGTGAAGAAACAGATGAGATTGAAACTGACACAATTCAGACAACACTCTGTTGCTTCACGCAACACGAGGGGTGCAAACATTGACGAATAGGCTTTCAGATGGCTTACTGTGGCAGCTCCAAGGATGAGCACATCAGGTCTCGCTGACGCTTCCTGCAACGTAAAGGGGGAGATTTTTAACAGTTTGAATTTTTTTTTTCCCACAGAGATAAACTAATATAGTTTGTTAGCCGTTTGATATTGGTTTCTCTGAATCCAATTGGCACACAGAGGCTTCAGCAATGTTTTAGTTGGGAAATAGCCCAAACCCTTTGATGGCATTTGCTTAGGGGCCCACAACCTTTTAAGGGCCCCATCACGGACCCCTGGTGGGTCCCCTATGCAATTGTAGACTACGACGTCTCTATGCAGATGTAACGGTGTGAAAAATTCCTCCTTAACCCACCCGATACTGAAGTGACTGACTGCACCTAACCGTATTTATACTGCAACACATGGCAGATTTCAACATGATGGTGAGCCGTTTAAACACGACACCAATAGCAAAGCAGACAGTGGTACTTCTAATGAGCGGATGTGTTTTACTTTGCAACCTTGCCTCTTTTCCCATCAGACACATGAAATTGCCGCTGACTAGCTGCCTAGTCTGACCAAAATGGACCTGAGGTCCGTCTGAGTCTGAACTACACCAGCCCCCTTGCAGAAATCATGTCAGGTTTGTTCATCCACGTTCACTCTCACTGAGATCCAAGCACCCCGACCTCAAAACCACAACCATGTGTGGCAACTTCTATAACACGACACAGCATGGTGCAGCATGACATGAGAGGCATACAGAGCAAAAGCTGCACTGAGTAATCAAACCAAGCAGACAAAAAGATCTTCTTTGATGATAAGAAAGGATGATATAAGAAAAAAAAAACTTCAATTGGTGCAAAAAAAACAAACAAACAAAAAAAAACAACAACAGAAATTTGCATTGCTGCAATACTTACATGTGTCCAAGAAATCAAGCGCTCCTTCATCGAGTTATTTGCCTCTGGATACCAAAGAAAGTCCTGGAAATAAAAACAGGAAGTACCAGTCTTTACTTTTATCTGTGGTTTCTTGCTTACGGAGAAAAGATTAGGTTTATCTTTAGAAAGCTCACCACATTGACAGAGGACTGATCATCTTGAAAGAAGATGTCCTCATGCTGCAGACATCACATGCGAGCAAACAGAGAGAAGATCTGTTAGAAATCAACTTCTCCTTTACTCTCCAACAAAAGGTGGTTGGTTTTAAATTGCAGTTGCAATGTCTTGACTTTGAAAGGTGGGGAATTAGAGTCAGGAAGCAGAGGGAGGAAACTCCTTTTACATTTCAGGAAGAGTTGGATTTTAATTATAGGTCTACAGATCTAAGCAACCCAGATATGGTACTCAAGCGAAACATATTCTCCCTGAAACTGAAACATGCAGCTTCTTGTGATCATACCTTGTTTCCTTCTTCTGCCCGCTCAGGCTCGATAATTTTCACAAAGGAATAAAAGAGCTGCCTGATTCGTGAGTCACCGGCAAAGACCACCCGTTTCTTGGAAAGGCATGTTTTAGCTTCACTGCAAGAAAAAAAAAAAGGAAAAAAAAAAAAACACAGGTGAGGAATGCAAAAAAAAAAGAAACAGAAAAAAAACAACGCATGGAAAATATCAATACTATGTCATTACTGGATTTCACTAATTGCCTACAATCCCCAAAACTGTCAATATTTTAAGAACAGCGATTAAATTTAACAGCTCACATCAGAGCTTATCCTTGTTTTTACAACCAGGAGTGGCTTAGCATCAAGGCTTATGTAAAAAAAAAAACAAACCTACATTTAAGTCTGATTTATACGCAACATGCTTAAAGCAGCTTACTGTTGCACATGCAATAAAAACTTTGGAGCCTTGAACAGCTTTCAATGACAGACAAGATTCAAATTATATATAAAAAAAACATGATCATCATAGTCTAAATTCCACTCTAATGTGACATTCTTTGGATTTGCAGCATTTAGACAAGAACATCTTGTGTCTCAAACTGAAACAAGATGTTCTAGTTGATTTTAATTAGCAAAGAGCAAAGGTGAAGAACAGAACAAGAACATTTTCTTTATTAGGGCAGCCAGGTCAAAAATCATTTTTAACAGACTTAATATAAATGCCTCAGATTAAAACTTTTAGATTGCATAGAAGAGAAAAGAGGTGATGATTTCTTTATGTTTACTATATGAGAATTATAATCATTTAGGATTATTTTTATTCACTTTAATATTGATCAGGGAAGGACTCGCACCAAGTCTTCAAAGCAAAGGTTTACTTAGGTATAAAATGCTGGATTTATTTTTTAGGGGAGTGTAGTAGTGAGTAGTTAGAGCAGTGTGCTTGTGCTCTGATCCCTACACTGCTCCCCTGGCACCGCACAATGGCAGCCCACTGCTGCCAGGAAGGGGATAAGGTAAATGCAGAGATAACTTCTCCAGTGTGAGATCAATAAAGTTCAATTATTGTTATTGTGTTTTTGCTTTGCTCCTGCTAACGTGAAATACACCATTTGTTTCACTGAATGTAAAGCTCTATCCCTCCTTTAAACTGTCTTTGGATCCAATCACCAACCCACCCGTGCAGACGGACAAACCCATGCCCACAGCTTTTCATGTGACTCACTTGCTTTTGTATTTGTGCATCATACAGCCGTAAGGCTGCCATACATTCTCCCCCAAGAAGCGGCCTCTGGACAGCAGCCATTCACATGAGTCTTCGCCTAGAGACACACAGAGAAACTACCAGTCAATTCATTTCTCTCCAACTTGAATAAAAATCTCTTGTGCAGACAGTGCTCTGTGCTGCCACAAAACAGATCACAGCTGTAGTTTTGGGGTCGCAGGACAAAATGAAGTCATGGACAATTTAGCTCCAGGCTAATTCTCTTCTGTCATTCATTTGAGTAAAAAAAAAAAAGAAAAGAAAAAGGAAATGACATGAATGCAGCTGAACCGGTCTGCAGAAGCCTAATAAAAAGAGGCAGCACAGCAATATAAGCTTTTACAGGCTTTTATTACCTGTCCCTGAATTTACAAACCTTTAATAGGGGGTTTGGGGGCCTAGGGTTAGTGTGCATAGAGCTTAAAATCCCGAGGTTGTGAGTTCGAAACCCACAGACTGCCACTCTGGCTGTCTAAGCAAGACCCTTAACGATTGCTCCCTGGGGGCCCCACAGTGGCAGCCCACTGCTCCCCAAAGGGATGGTTAAATGGGTTATTATCATTTAAAATGCTACAATTATCTACTTGGGAAATAATTTCCCCGAAAATTCTATTTTGCATGTTATTTGCCTTTCATGACAACATTAATTACAACATTGTTATAAAATCAATTAGTGTATTTTCAGCCGTTTACAGTATTGCTAGGACATGTTTGGGTTTTCAATGTTTTACCAGCTAGAAAACTCTCTGCCCAGCAACAGAACATCCAAGAAAGGAAACAGACAAGATAAACTACGCGGAAGTAGAATAACCGGGTAGATTTACCCGTCTGAGATTTGCTTCATTAACATTTCGATTTTGCAACCATTGAAGCGTTTTTTAAACAGCAGCTCCAGTGTGTTAGCTTCATATTTAGCTAGCCGTTAAAAAAGAACAACAAAAACAAATAGGCTTCTGCTTCAAGCCTTTCAAGGTTTGGTCTAAAAACATAAGATTTTAATGCAGTTTTCAGTCTGTCTTAAATCGCCAAAATGGAGCAAAACAACGCAGTGGACCCAAAAAATTTAATAAAAATAAAAAAAAAGCCGGGGTGCTCCTAGCAAGAAGCAGCGAGCTAGCTGCTGTTAGCATGTCTGGAAGCGTCCGTCAGTTAAAGGCTCCACTTACCTCCATAATACCGCAAAGCCGTGTGGAAAAAGAGCAGCAAAACAACCGCCGCCAGCGATATCAGTTTGGCATTTTTTATCGTAAAATGTTGATTTATTTCGCGTTTGCCCAGGCTATAGGCCAGGACCGCCATCTTTGCTCCTCCATGACAACAGGCAGCTGTGTAGTCCAGCAGCGCAGCACCACCTGTCCTCCTCGGTTCCTGCGGCGCTGCCTCCTCCTCGGTCTCCATCACCGCAGCTATGTTTGTTCAGGAAACACTTTAAAGGACTTTTTACTGCAAACCTGTGCGCCTTTTCTGTCATGAAAAAAAATAAGTTTTAAAAAGCGTTTAGTTCACTTTAAAAACTTCGACGTCTCCTGAGTTATTGAGTGCGCAAGGTGTTCGTCTGGTCTTTTCTGTTTCCAGTGGCATTTAAAATACTGCCAGCGTAATTTAAAAGGCCTAACTTGATAAACCGGATTTTCCTGAAATTGGGAATCCGGTCTATCCTATATTGGGTGGAGCATACCTTTTTTTCTCCTGTTGGTGATCATGAACAAACTATGAAGCAAAGTCCAATTCAGCAGAGGCGTAGCCAGAAATTTTTTTATAAGGGTGCCCAGGCACCAATAGGCACCAAAACCACAGGGTTAATCTACACTGTTCCAACAGGAAAATTAACAAGCAAAACATGCACATTTTCTAAATAAAGACAAACTATACTTTCCCACAGCCTTTTCTAATAAATAGACGCATATATTCAAACATTTGTGTTTTCTAGATACAAGGTATAGTGGATAAAAATTCTTTCAGGTTTGGGTGATCATCTTTTCCATTGTCATTGCTTACCCAATTCTATCACTAATCATTCTAGATAACATATTTGCAAGTACTAATATCTACATAGATTGATTATTTAATACGTTTTTATTAAAACTGATATTTATCTATGATTTCACTGAAAACTCCTAAGTTACTTGCAGAGACAATTTCTCTTTACCCCATAAAACAAAATCTATTTCTGAAGAGCATGCAATCTCTACTTATCATCTTTAATGTTAGTATATTGATGTGCATAATTAACCAGTGTTTTTGTTGTAAAGTAATTGTTAATATATGAAAAATGTTTTGAATATTCCACTTGAGAGGGCCCTTTCCCCCCCTGCCCCCCATCTTGCTCCGCCCCTGCAATTTAGACACAGGAGAGGTGGAGTCTGACTGAGAAAAACTCTGATCATTTTATTAGATAATATCCTGTTATAAAATTTATCAGTGAAGTGATCACTGGCACGATATAAGCACAGCATTGACTGGATCTCAGTTTCAACCCTCTGAATTTCTATAACATTCATGCATTAGAGCCAGAGTTGAGCCAGAACATTTTTATAAGGGTGGCCAGGCAATAACTAATATACACTGAGGGGTGGCTGAAAATGGATAGGCACCAGAACCTCAGGGTCAAGCCAAAGACTAACTTTACTTTCCTGAAGACTTTTCAACGGAAGAGGGTTAGGGCCAGTGAAAAAAAAAATGTTAACTGATTTTTAAATATTTCAGTTTTTTGTGAGAATTGTGAATTTTTTCTCGAAATTCTGACTTCTGAAAAAAGCATGAATTCTGTACTTATCATCTTTAATGTTATTAAATTGAGGTGCATAATTAACCACTGTGTTTTTGTTGTCAAGAAATTATGAATACATGAAAAAATTGTAAGTAATACATGAAAAATGTAAATTAATATCCTACTTCAGAGTATTACTGCTGCCACCATCTGTATTAGAGGGGAAAAAAATAGTAGGCGTGGCCCCCCATCTATCTCCGCCCGTAATTAGAGCCACAAACTTTAAAGTAGGCTATTGTACTCAGGTTATATGCAATGTGCAATGGGGCATTTGATTGTCAAATGGAAGGAAAATGATATATGTTCTTCTTCATAGACATAATCTGAGAAATACTGCTGAACAGTGAATCGTTACAGATATATAGACATAGGCAGTTGTATATGTGACACATAAACCATTTTATTTATTTAGTTTGTATTTGAAATGTTCATAAAGCTTCATGTATTCTATTAAAACAAAGGCTTTGGAATGAGCATGTTGTGACAGCAGTTTTCCACAAGAGGGCGTTCTCTTAAACCAGCAGCTGTAGTGCAGTAAGGTCCAGTACTACTTTGTCTACAGAGGTGGGTAGAGTACTGTAGATTACTCAGAAATTATAGGGTATTCAATTAAAAGTAGCACTGGTTAAACCTTTTTTTTTCTTGAGTAAAATAAGAAGTAGTCATCCAAGAAATTACTGAAGCAAAAGTAAAAAAGTATTTGTTGCAGAGTTCTTGGACCAACGCCTCTTTTTAATCCTTTGAAATTATGCAGTCAAAGAATGCAAATAAACCACATCATTACAAAATAATTTAAATAATCCCACTAAAGAAAAGCTTTTCCAAATTTATATTTTTTTCAAGATAAAACTTACAAAATCAGTTCTTACTTAGATTAATATAAAGAAGGGTAAATAACTTGCACTGACAATATTGGCATTTAATTAACTGTACATTCAGCTGATCTCTTAATAGCTAAAGTAATTCACAGTGTAGTCAGACATTTTAATTGAGTTGCAGCAGTGAAACTTCACATACATAATTAAGAAGTATGGCCCAATAAATCTACTAGAAGTACATTTTTTTATGGTATTACCATTTACTTGGATATTACTTACACTCAGGAAATACTGTATTTCCTGAGTAACTACTTACAGGAACATTATAAAATAAAACATACCACATTATAAAAAATCATTTTGAAATAAATAAATCTTGATGTAAAGAACTAAGCAAATTACAATATAATCAAAAAAGTATCTTATTTAAAGGGTTAAATAATGCCTAAAATGTTTTTAAGTTTCTGTGTGCTTATAAGCAGGGATGGTTGTGTAAATTCATTCAGCAAACACAGCTCACATTGATTACACACTTTTTCTTTACTTTGCCAGCGGATATCCTCCCCACACCTTCACTGCTAGAGGTAGAGCCAAAAAGAAATGTAATAAGATGATTGTCAGCCATCAACCCAAACACTGGTCTGATTGGCTTCTTATCAGTTTGTCTGGTCCTGAGAAAGTTTCACACAGGGCAATGTTTTATCAGCTGCAAACACCGACTGACAAGAGAACAACATGCTTTCACAAAGGTCGTGTCTCACTGATAGAGAGTTGTCTCCATATGCTTAAACCTGCATGTGGTGTCATATTTGCATTATAAAAACGATGGATCTTTTCAACTTTAAGCCTCTGTTCGTCCTTGGACTGCCTCATATTTAACTTAATTGATTGATTGATTGGCTTTATTGATTGCACAGTGGAGAAATTTAGGCGTTACATCAGCTCAAATAGTCAGAAAGAGAAATAGAAGGTGCCAAAGGAAGAAAGGGTGCATGGGATATAAATAGTATATACAGTGCACCCACATATGGCAGCTTTTTTGTTTTTAGTTGGATTATACAGGGTTATTGCACAGGGCGTTTATATGAGTATTTATATAGATGGATATCTATGTTTATATAAATAGTTATTGCACTGGCAGTCAAATGTATAGAAGCAGGTTATTGCAAAGGGTATCAAATAGTAATTGCACGTTATACATTTCACAAGTTCTTGCCGTTGTGTCGCATTATAGATTCTGGTTGCAGCAGCGCTCCTTTTTGCAGACAGGGTGTAAAAGTCTTTCACTATAGGAGCTGCTTAGCTCCGCTATAGTCTGGTGCAGAGGGTGGAAGGTGTTTTCCATGATGGATGTAAGCTTGGACAGCACCCTCCTGTCAGCCACTTCCTCCATTGGGTCCAGAGTGCAGCCTAGGACAGAAGCGGCCGCTTTCTGTCCACTCTGCGCTGCCAGGAGCTGAGCAGACAACAGTGTATAGGAGGGTGGATACCACAGGGTCATAGAAAGTTTTTAGCAGGGGCCTGCTCACTCCAAAGGTCATCAGCCTCCTCAGGAGGTGGAGGAGGCTCTGGCCCTTCTTACACAGGGCCTCAGCGTTATGAGTTCAGTCCAGTTTATTATTGACAAATAAACACAAAGCTATTAGAAACTCTCCACAGTTTCTATGTCCTGTCCCTGGGTGTTCATGGGGGAATAAGGTGGTCTTCTCCTGAAGTCGATCACCATCTCCTTGGTCTTACTGGTGTTAAGATGCATGTGGTTCTTCATGTTCATGATGACCAATCGAGACTCCAGCTCGATCCCCTCAGAAACGCAGCCTACAATGGCTGAGTCATTGGAGAACTCTATTCATCTTTACCTTAAACTCTGACAGGTGTCCCTTTTTGATTTTGAAGAGCATTCCTACAGCATGATTCCTCCTCCACCATGTTTCACCCTGACGACAAAACCTTCAGGGTGACGTAGGAGTTTTCCACCACACAAAATGAACATTGAGAAGCAATGTTTCAATTATTGAAAATATAATTCCCTCTGCAGCTGTCTCACATATACCCCCTAAATAGCTCTTCGCTGGTAGGTTCCTAATTGAAAGAAATGTTTGCTGTGTACACAATAAATAGTCATGTCAAGAGAATTTTTTCCACCTGAGCTCAACTCTCTGCAGCTCCTCTACAGTTATAGTTCTTCTTAAATGCTTTTCTGATCAGTGCTTTCTATGCCCACTCTACAACTGTAGGTGAGTATCTGGGTGACATTATTTCAACCAAACTTCTCTCTCAGCTTAAATGGTGGACTTTTGCATAATTTGTAGTTATATCATAAGTCTACTCATCTTCTTAAGGAATTATAGACGTTAAAGGAAGTCAGATATTTTATCATTAACAGATACTCCTGACTAAAAAGGGTTCAATAAGAACTGAAGGTTATATCTGAGTGTTTTATAAGTTTCCGTGTGCTTATAAAATGGGATGTGGTTACGTGAATCCCTTCATCAAACCGAGGTCATGTTGATTAGATTAGTTTTATACTTTGCCAGCTGGTGTACGCACCACACCCTCACTGCTACAGGTAGAGGCAAAAAGCAATATAGAAAGATGGATGTCAGCTATCTGCCCAAACATTGGTCTGATTGGCTTCTTAACAGAGCAATGTTTTACCAGCTGCAAACGCCGACTGACAAGAAAACAACAGAAGCCAGTAGAACGTTAATAACCAATCACCAAGTCATGTCTCATATACATCTATTTTTGTTTTGGCCTATTACCATATTCTTTGATCTAAACCCCTTTTTTATCGATCTGGATTAAAGTTCCAATGAAATAACCTGCTCCCCTCATATCCTGAGACTCAAGGGTGCGCCAGTCCTGCATTCCTTATCTCTAGGTAGCTCTGTCAGGTTAGGGTTTGTGGATGGAAGCTGCTGTCCCAAACATGGGAATTGTTTTCAGGGAATCTGAATTATGCAAAACAGAATTTTAATAAGTTTAACTAAATTAGACTAAGTTTGTCACA